GGTGAATTGCTACGTGCAATAACTATCATTGAGCATTTGATTGATCAGTTCCTCTGCGACAGCAACTTGGGAATGGGGCATTCTGTACGCAGGTATATAAATAGGTCTAGCACTTGGTTCAAGTGGAATACGATGGGACAATAAGTTCGTTATACCCATCTTCTCACCTGGTAAGGCAATGTCTTTACGACATTTGTTCAACAGCGTCAACAAGTGCTGGACTTAGTCTGGAAAATCAGTGGGAGCTAAGTCTTTCTCCTCAACTGGTGGGATAGATTGATCCAGTGGAGTGGATGAGGTCTCCACTGTTGAAATAGCACTGACCCACTGGTCAGGTGTACTCGTTATCACCTACGACTGGACGAGTAGACTTGGGTGCTCGGATTCCCCTGAACTGGAAGAATGAGCCTGGTTCTGGTTAGTTTGTGAACCACGACGTCTGTTTCCTCTCCTGGCTCTGCGGTTGGAACGGCCACGGAAAGATCTAGAGTACTGCAGGTTGTAGAGAGCGTTGCACTCAGATGTGTCATGTCCATGAATTCTATGATAAGTACAGTAGGGAAGATCTGACTGGTACTCATCATCAGTACGACGCTTCTTAGGGTGACTATCATGACAATTAATAGCAATATGGCCATGGTAACCACAATTGCAGCAAGCTCTTTGACTGTGGGTACTGTACATACTACGGGTGCTATGGGAATGATGGCTCTTAACACTTGCTTTGGATGATGGACGCGAGTGATTAAGGTTGGGAGTTTTGGTAGTAGCACAAACTAGAGGAAGTACAGGAGTGGACAAGGTGTTTGGCATAGACTTACGATAAGGGAAGGTTCCCTCGGGACACAAATTTCGTACATGGATTAGAGCTGCAAGCGGTCCCATAGTAGCATCTAGTGGACTTGAATTGTATATATACATAGATGTCGGTGGCATTAGTTGTTTAATAACTCCAAATGCAGCTAATTTGGCAAACCTATCAAGGGCTGGTTTATCGTTATCTTTAAGGTACTTTGAATTTTGACCTGCTTTAACGAATGAGGACATTAGGTTATAAGACGAAGAGCAAAACTCATCTAATGACTCTTCTGGTCTCGGAGCTGTGCAAACTAATTCTTTGAGAACAACGAACGGATCGGTTTCTCGCACCGGTTCAAGATAATTGCAAATTAACTGTTCATAATCTTGCCACCTGGTTAGATCTTGAAAGTCCTTCATACGAATAAAGTTAAATACATGTGAGGCTGCTGGAGAACGGGCTAGACTCTCCTTTCCGATACTGATCAAACAACTCTCAGATGGAAGACCATCAACTGAAGCATCAGCTCTGGCTCTAACTGCGGTAAACCAACCTTCAAGGTTGTCTGGATTACCATTGAAAAGCATAGCATCATACGGATCACGACTGAAATTACGCAGGCTAGAAGTCTGAGTATATCTATTGTTTGATAAGGAGTTACTCGAATTTTGGGCTGACGCATTAATGGTTGTACTAGCAGCATGTGCTGATGCATCACTTGAGAAAACTTGAGACATATTTGCAAAAATGTAAAACAAGAATTTAGAGAAACAAAAGAAAATGTAGCTGAGGAACACACAACACAATGAATTTAAATGGGGAAAAAATGCTTAACTATTCTGCATAAGTAATTAAAAATTGACAGGTCACACAGTAAGCAAAAAACTCACACAAGAAAAATATGCAACTGAACAAATAACACTTTGAAAATCAAGAGAACTTGTACTTTACTCAAATCTAATTTGCTCAACTTATACTTTAAATTGAATGAATGGCACAGTGAGTTGTCTTTACTTTCAATGCAATAGGGAAACACACAATAAAATGATAAAATGGACTCAATAAAACTTGTGCAAAAATAAAACTGAGACACAATTCAGTGAAATAAAATAAAATGGCACACAAAGAATCAAATATTATGCACAGAACAGAGCATAAGAAACTGCACTGAAATAAACTGTAGCAATGTTGCAAAATAACAATTGCTAATCAATAAGTACTGCATAAAATTTCTGCAAGAAAACTTTAATGGCAACACAATATTTGCACAAGAATTATTGCAAAATGAGTCAATGTGCAATAATAAAAAAAAAATTATTACACACACAAGAAAAGAAATATATCAAGGAATGAACACTTTAACTTTTAACTGCACTCAAGAAACACTTAATTAACAAGCAAAAGAACAATTTACTCTAAAAGAAGAACTTAAAAATTGCACTAAGAGTGAATTTGTTCAATGAAACATGAAAAATAATAGGTGCTAAAACACAGAACAAAAAGCTTGAACACTTACAGTGATGCAGAACACAACACATCAACATAAACACAATACTAGAATTTTCTTGCAATGAAACTTGATATGTGAAAAATTTTGTAAAAATGATTTCTTGCTTGTACAAAATAATGGCACTATTGTCTGTGGAAATAAGACAAATTAGACACTGGCTAAATGAAAGAATATGAACACAAGAATGTTCAACACACAGGGAACAAAACAAGAATACACAAATGCTGGGAAGAAAAAAAATATATAACAGACAACACTGAGTTGTGATGCAGAATATATATAACTGAGACAACACTGAGTTGTGATGCAGAATAAAGCTGATAAATTACTGAAATACTTCACTGGAATACTGAGAACACTAGGTGATTCTGAAGTGGAAACAAATTCTATACTGCTCATATGTTGCACACACAACAAAGGAAAACACTAAGTACTTACTTCAAGTGTATAAAAAGACACACAATACAACAGACATAAGATAATGCACGGAAATTAACACTGAATTAAAGAGATTAAATAAAATATTATTGCAAAACAAACACTGAGTCTGATCAAGAGTCACTGAGTGTCACTAAGAAAAAAATCACTGGAAACACAAAAGAAATGTCTCAACACTCGCAAATGTCTCTATGAAAAAAAATATTAATTATCGCTGTAACGACTTGGTGTAGAATAAGGTTGATGGTGGAAGGTTGGAGGATTGTTTACGTCGTCTTGCTGCTGTCCTCTGCACACGTGATTGTAGAATTGCGCTTACATCGACGATGAACTCACACAGGAGGCTTTTAACGGTGGCGCCACTGTCGAAGGCACACTCTAGCTCTTGACCCCCTATGTGGTCCTTAAAATATGGTGCTATAACCCTTAGTAGTGCGCCAAAACACTGGTGGAGGATGAGTGAGTACCACAACACAGTGAGTGTGGTTGGGTTTGTGGGTAAACAGGGCTAAGACCGGGCAATGGTGAGACACACGTGGTGAGTGGGTGGTTGGTCCTGTGGGTTGAATGGCATAAGCCTCACTGAGGACAGCCACACTGCCACGAAGACATTCTAAGCTGGCTAGCTTAAAATACACCCACGAAATATCACAACACCACAAGGATGAAAAAGAGCACTCAGAATTGCTTGGAGCTTGAATCACAAGCGATGAAGACTACTCACGTGGCTTGCTTGAGTACTGGGGTAAGACAGAATAGCTTGATAACTTCACACAATGAGCACAGCAGTGGTGGAAGCTGGCTTGGCAGGCAAAGGAACTAGATGGGGTAGACTAGGCTCAACTAGGCTCCCTCACCACAGACTGGAAGCTTGCTTATTTTGCAAACTCAGGTCAACCCCTTGGGAGTGATGCAAATAAGCAGATAAACACTAATACAAAGAGACTGACCAGTGAATGCTGTAGAAGCTGGTAGGAGCTTGGGAGAGTAGCTGACTTGAGGTAGCAGGCTGGCTAGGTCAGCCTACTGGTGACACGAAATGGCCGTCTTGCTGGTCGAAAGAAATCTCCGTACATCAGTGTAATTATCAATTTTACGCCCACACCGCTGCCACCATTTGTCATAGGGGTTCTTAAATGGAGATATCGAGGGTTGAAGGTAGACACACTTGTTGGATGGTAACATATATTGTCAGACTGTGATGATGAACGTGGAGACCAGCCTCTGCCTGTCTTAGCCTGTCTAGGTCTACACACCGACTGAGAGGGAGGCAGAGGTACGACCGTACACATGTGCATCCCATGACATCACACAAAGTCACAGGCCTAAAAGGGATCTCCTATCTAAAGCACATGGATGATACTATATGCTATGCTATATAACACAGGGATCAGCAACTATGCTGACAAACACCTGTAATAATGTTAACACCTGCAATATTGTTAACACCTGCAATAATGTTAGCACCTTTAACAAGGTTTATACCAACAGCAAAGTTAACACCTAAAACAGTGTTATTACAAAAATATTATCACCTGCAATTATTTTAACACAACGTTAACACCTACAACAATGTTAACATCTACTGCAGTGGTGCCCCTACAATGTCATCTACTACAGAAGCTGTGTTAACACAATATTATCACCTGAAGCAATGTTAACACAATGTTATCATCCAAAGCAGTGTTAACACGATATTTTCACTTACAATAGTGCCAGCTCCTTCAAAAATGTTAAAAGCTACAACAATGTTAACACCCACACCAACGTTAACACAAGAATGTTAGCACCTACAACAATGTTAACTTTCACACCAATGTTAACACAAGAATGTTAGCACCTACAACAATGTTAACTTTCACACCAATGTTAACACAAGAATATTAGCACCTATAACAGTGTTAATGCCCACATCAATGTTGACACAATAATGTTAGCATCTACAACAATGTTAACACCCACACCAATGTTAACGCAAGAATGTTAGCACCTACAACAATATTAACACCCACGCCAATGTTAACACAAGAATGTTAGCATCTACAACAATGTTAACACCCACGCCAATGTTAACACAAGAAAGTTAGCACCTACAACAATATTAACACCCACGCCAATGTTAACACAAGAAATGTTAGCATCTACAACAATGTTAACACTTGCAACAAAGTTAACATCATCAACAATGGTATTATAACAAAGATGATGTTAACATATATACTAACATCATTAACGTTAACAGTAACAACTCACCGAGATTGTAAAACTTGTAGGAGGTTGTCAGAAGTGGTGGTTGTCTCAGCATGATAGTAGTGGTGCTGTAGTCTCAGGTATGTGCAGTGGTGGTTGGTGAGGGCACCCAGGAGGTCAGGCAGGTCAGGCAGAACACCAGGGTCACCCTGGATATCAATCATCACCTCGCACGACCTGAGGTGTGGTAGGAGAGCTGTGTAGCTTCTCACACGATTATCTTTCACGTTAATTGTTTGTTCTATATTGAAGAAAGGAGATATTTCTTTGGCAGTAACTGGAGAAATCTTAGTGTTCTCAAGGAGGGAGAGCCACTTCATGT